CCTCAGTAAGGTTGGGAAATGTTTGTTTCGGGGGCAAAAATAACATCCTAACCTGCACAGTCCGTAGCGATAATAGGTTAGTTGCAGGACGTTACAGGACGTTACAGGACGTTACAGTATGTTACAGGACGTTGTAGGACGTTGCAGGACGTTACAGGACGTTGCAGGACGTTACAGGACGTTAGAGGACGTTACAGGACGTTGCAGGGCGTTACAGGACGTTAAAGGACGTCGCAGGACGTTACAGAACCAGCCCCAACAGCCCCTGGCTGTTGTGTGGCTTTTTTAGGCAGATTTACGTCCAGTAGTTTACCATTGCTTTCTAGACGGTCGGCTTTCTTGATACCACTTTTGAAACAAGCGCAAGGCGCATGGCAAGCAGCTGGGATCGAACCCGGCATCCCGGAATTACGAAGCGTTTGCATCGACTTAGCCCAAGAGCCGTAGCGACAATACTAGCTTTAAATCCTCAGGCTGCCCGTGTGGGTCCCGGGGCTTAAATGACCTGAGCTTCCAGGCTCCAGCGCCCCTAGAAGTGATAATAATGATAATGATGATGATGATGACGACTATGGTGATGATGACGACTATGGTGATGATGATGTTGATGATACAAACCATTAGACTCGTTCGGCAAACCCAAACATTAAGGCGCCCTATGGAGGTCTAGAACCGAAAACATGTGTCTGTAATACATGCTAGGGTTTTCCCCGACAGGAAAAGAAGTTTGGTGTCAGAGTCGGGACTCGGCAGCCAATAACTAATAAAATGATCGTTATGAGCAAGATAAGCTTTCTGTGAGGAAACCTCCAGTCTGTGCAAGCTACAAACACAGACATATTAAACCTACGTCGATCGGGTAAATGAATAAACGCAGATGACATTTTCGACAAAATTCCGACTTCAGGATCCGTTCTTCCAGCTCTTGACCTTTTCACTTGCCGTAGTCGGCAATCTGACGCATGCCGGAAAAGTTGTTTAAGAACTTGACATCACAGGATATTCGCACAAGAAGCACTCGGTCCTCGTCTTCAGCAGCTAGCGAAAAGGTCCAGTTGAATGGTGGCATAGCCACTTTGATATATATATATATATATATATATATATATATATATATATATATATATATATATATATATATATATATATATATATATATATCCTTCTAGCATTTCCCCTAAGCTTGGGGTGTCAGCCACATCTCCTGGTCACTCTTCTCTTCACACAATTCTCTCCACACCACAATGTTTTTTTCGTGCTCCCATACTATTCACGTGCAGTACCAGCCAGTCTGTTTGTCTGCATATTTGCCAACAAGCCTACATAATTGAGAAAATATCCAAAGGACGCTGTCTACGGGACCTCTGAAACGATGCTTGCCACTCTGCACGGTGCATGCCTGTCTCTTGCTTTGTGGGTCGAAACATGTGTGTGTCGCTTGTTTTCAAGCCAGTGGAAAGCTGTTGTGACTACCCCAACCTCTATTCTCTGACTTGATGTTCTGTATCATATACTATGCTTTCTTGCACTAAGCGTTGTCCATTCGCTTTGGCAATGAACCCTCATTCACTTCTGCCTCTTAACACAAACTCATCTATACAGATAATCAAATCAACTTGGCGGAAGCTGTTATAAACACATTGTTGAATTAAAGATTATGCTGTGCCTGCTGGCCAATGAATCCCCGCACTCCTGGCGTGATTAAAATCCCATAGAAGCCTATGCTCTGACACTTTAACCCCTTCCTCTCCTCTCCCATTTGTTTCTCTTCTCAAGCAATCTCAGAACCTCCATTACGGTCCGCTGCTTGTGCCATTCCAGACTTTCTTCTTGGCAGAGTCGGCTCTGTGACTAAGCCGATGCGAAAGCTTTGTAATACCGGGGTGCTGGGTTCGACCCCAACTGCAGGCCATGCGCCTTGCGTTGGTTTCGACGGTGGTATCAGGAGGCCGACCGTCTAGAGAGCAATGGCAAACTACTGGACGTAAATTTGCCTAGAGAAACCAGACAACAGCCAGGAGCTGTTTGGGTTGGTCTTGCAACATCCTGTAAAGGATACGCAACTAACCTTTCTTGTCAGAAAAGTATGGGCCTTAGGTAGATGTATCGTTCTTGATTTCCTTAGGCATGCTGCAGCTTCTATTTATTATTATTATTATTATTATTATTTTTTTTGATTACTGATATTATACTTCTTACACGTGTTGTTGTTTTTACTGCGCTACTTCCCCGGGTGGGCTGTGGGGCCCATAATTTTTCGTCGGGGTAGGGGGGGGTGGGGGGGGGGGGGGGGGGGGGGGGGGCGATAGAGAAAACCGCCACTTCCCTCCAACAAGCATATTGTAAAAAGGTGTTAATTAGTTTTTTTTTTTTTTTTTTTTTTTAACTTTCAAAGATTTGCATCTGCCTGAGAACGAAGAACCAACAGTCTGCATACAAATAAGCCACATATGTAAAATTATTGTACACGCAAAACTCAAGTTCTGTAGCAAGAATAAAGTCTAGAAGGGGACGAACAACTAGGACTTTCCGCAGTTGTGTGAAAGATGATCCTGCAAAGGAGGGACGCAAGAGAGCAAGAGAACGAAGTGTGTATAATCAGTTTGCTACGAGAACAGTTAAAAGTTACCCATAAAAACATTTGCTGCTGGAGACGAAACATTTACAAATATGTCCGGTGTGCTATGCCTTCGATTCTTAAACCAGTAAATCAGTAAAACCACTGGCTTAGAAAAGAATTTTACTTTGTTTTTACTTACTGTACACGCACAAAAATGTTCTTCCGCTAGTTCGACAATACGCAGACAAGTTGTTTGTTTGCTTGCGTTCACCAGCGGAAAGCCTTCTTGTTTCAGGACTTTGATTCTGTTCACGGATTTGAGTTTGCATGCGCACCCGTTTTACTCATTTGGCCTTATTCTTTGCAGACTGTTAGTTTCTTTCCACTCGGGCAGACGCACGCACTTCGGAGAAATACCCTACTTTGTCTCCTTCCACGACATGCTTGTAAGTGAGACAGTAAACGGTTGCGTAAAATGCTGTTCCATTCTTCGCATTCGCCAGTTTACATTTGGCTGTGTGCATCTCCATCCGCGGCCTGATTTCTACTATCGTGTAGAGGAGGCGGCGCCTGAGCCCAGACGAGATGCACGACAAGATTGGCAGACCTTGGACCGGGCTGCCAGGCTAAATGTGGCAATGGTGGCGCCAGTCCTGCAGCGTGACAATCATTGCACACTTCCGAATCCCTACCTACAGCGGTCATTTCCTGATGATGATGATGGCGATGACATATATAAGAGTTGGGGGAGGGGAGGGGTTCTCTTCTACCAATACTACTGCACCTAGCAATAGGAGTTTTGTCCTTTTTAGAACGAAATTTTTTGTTATTTGAAGCCCTACCCTGACTTTTTCCAGGGGCCGCAATATAGGCAGGCCATAAATATGGCCACTTGTCTGAACGCGGTTTCTGTGACCTCTCCACGGCGATCCTCATCCTTATGGTGGCACTTTGTGTCATCGGGTGTTTAAAGATTGTGTGATGTCATGGTGGGGTAGAAAGTCAGTCGGGTGGGGGGGGGGGGGGGTGGATTTGCGCGAGCGAGTCAATAAAACAGGGAGAACGTGAGAGAGGAGAAAGAGGGACTACCTAAGTAATGAAGAGAAGATGCGTAAGGGAAGTGGGGGAGAGAAATGACATGATGTTAAACTGTCCAGCCGTGATATCAAACTGTACAGCCATGATGTCAAACTGTCCTTCTATGATGTCAAACTGTCCAGCCATGATGTCAAAGTGTACATCAATGATGACAATCTGTCCATCAATGATGTCAAACTGTGAAGCCATGATGTCAAAGTGTACATCAATGGTGTAAAACAGTTCAGTTATGATGTCAAACTGTCCAGCCATGATGTCAAACTGTCCATCAGTGGTGTCAAACTGTCCAGCCATGATGTCAAACTGCCCAGCCATGGTGTCAAACCGTCCAGCCATGATGTCAAACTGTCCAGCCATGATGTCAAACTGTCCAACCGTGATGTCAAACTGTACAGCCATGATGTCAAACTGTCCATCAGTGGTGTAAAACTGTCCAGCCATGATGTCAAACTGCCCAGCCATGGTGTCAAACCGTCCAGCCATGATGTCAAACTGTCTAGCCATAATGTCAAACTGTCCAACCGTTATGTCAAAATGTCCAGCAAGGGTGTCAAATTGTCCATTTATGGTGTCACACTGTCCAGCTATGATGTCAAACTGTCCAATCATGATGTCCAGCTGCCTAGCCATGGTGTAAAACTGTTCATCAATGGTGTCAAACTGTCCAACCATGATGTCAAACTGTCCAACCATGATGTCAAACTGTCCATTCATGATGTAAAACTGTCCAACGATGATGTCAAACTGTCCATCAATGGTGTTAAACTGTCCATCAATGGTGTTAAACTGTCTATTCATGGTGTCAAATTGCTTATCAATGGTGTCAAATTGTCCATTCATGGTGTCAAATTGCCTATCAATGGTGTCAAACTGTTCTTTAATGGTGTCAAATTGCCTATCAATGGTGTCAAACTGTCCATTCATGGTGTCAAATTGCCTATCAATGGTGTCAAACTGTCCATTCATGGTGTCAAACTGTCTATCAATAGTGTCAAACTGTCCATTCATGATGTCAAACAGCCTATCAATAGTGTCAACCTGTCCATTCATGATGCCAAATTATTTATCAATGGTGTCAAACTGTCCATTCATGGTGTCAAACTGTCTATCAATGGTATCAAACTGTCCATTCATGATGTAAAACTGCCTATCAATAGTGCCAACCTGTCCATTCATGATGTCAAACTATCTATCAATAGTGTCAAACTATCCATTCATGGTGTCGAACTGTCTATCAATAGTGTAAAACTGTCCATTCATGATGTCAAACTGCCTATCAATAGTGTTAACCTGTTCATTCATGATGTCAAACTATCTATCAATAGTGTCAAACTATTCATTC